GCTTGTTTAGGTCAAATCTATATTAGGCATATAATGTGAACCCAGTTATGATTTTGCTTATGATTTATGATTATACTATATTGTTTCTCTGATCTGTAGCTATTTTATACTATTTTTAATTTAAAAGATTATTAAATGTATTTATATAGATAATATATCCTCAACATTTGATGTTTATTGTCATCGCTGCTTTTGTAGCTGGTGTTATGTTCACTGACTTGCTTGTAGTGGCTAAAGTGATTTTAAAATCACATCTTGGGTGTTCTTGAATTTGTATCTATTATTTTATTGGGATATTTGAATTGTGGTGGTGCCCAACCTCAAGATTTAGTGTGTGCTTGTAACTTCAGTCTAAAGAGTTGTAATCAGGTTATCCACAAAGATAAGTGTAATGTATCCTAATTTGTATTTGTAATGTTTGGTGTTGTATACTCGTTGATGTTTTTTGTAGCAGGGATCATGTTCATCTATTTACTTGCTGTAGTGATTTTGATAACATGCATTTGTGTTCTTGTTCATCATTTCTCGCCACACTGGCAGATCTCAATTATTGGTCTTATTATTTAAAGTCTTGATACTTGAAGGTACAGTTTTGTCATTCAAATTGCTTTTGTGCATTGTATATCTTGCTCAATGGATTCCCTGGTAGTAATTAATGTATAACATTTATCTGACTAAATGTTTTGTTATAAAATGTGCATGTTTGATATGCAAATGAAATGCTAATATTCAGGATTCTTTAATTTTTTTCAGTGACTTCTATTTTTGTTCCCCTACAATTTCAAATGCTTACCGAATGTATTCAAATATAAATTATTTCAATAAAATCTTAAAGCTGTGTATGAGTATGGGAGGCGATGTGTGTGTTTGCAGGGGCCGGTGTCCAGGCTTTGTAAATATATGTGACGTTGAATTGGGATTCAGTGCATTATAACAGTGGTTTTAATACAGCAATAGACGCAGAACAAATAAGGCGAAGGATAAACCACGCAGGCACCTGCATACACGCACATATTACGAAAAATGGAATAAGGTTGATATGCTATGATAACGTGCACACATCAACTTTACTGTAGAATACCCAAATAAAATAGATTACTGCGATACGGTAATTATTGTGCATACATATATGTTCTGTTATCCTTTCGGATGACAGGTAGTCCTGGGAATGGAAGTCCGGGGTCCCATATGATTAGTTTAGGTAAGGGTAGTCGGAGTATTGGGGTAAGTATATGGGACGAATGTCACCTGTACAAAGTATTAGGAAACGGACAACGCTTCCAAGCGGACTACCATTCCATTCACACCGGCTCCTTTACTAAGACGTATACGTAACCCACACCAATAATATAAAATAATATAAAAACACAATACGCCTCGCGGTTTCAATAGGCAATCAATATCAACATAACGGCTGCGGCTGGGTATTAACCTGGAAATATTACAATGAAAATATAAACTGTTTACGTGACGTTGACCATTGTGACCCACACAATAGAGCAGTACACTAGCATATACCAGTACACAATAGAGCAGTACACTAGCATATGCCAGTACACAATAGAGCAGGAGAATTTGTGTGTATACCTGACAGCAATGGCGGTCGTATAAAGTACTCAGTAGAAGTCTGGGTTGTAACAGGATTAAGGAAAACAGGTATACTTACGTTATAGTATGAGGTTTCATGTGTACCGATATCAAATGGTTCTAACATACCCAGTTTTAATGGCATTGTTTAAATGCTTTTTCGTCGTCATTAGATCTTCTCATTTTATAGTATCATAATATGAAGTGAGACGTACGTCCACTCCATTCGTCCTCCTGTACAAGTTCAGTCATATTCTAACCCGCAAGAAAATGCAGTAGTATCGAAGTAGCAAAGAAGCTTTAACGCAGTAGTGGTGTGGAGCATATTTGCAGTAGAAATTCAGTATAGCCTACTGCAATTCTACTTCAAAAATTACATAGGGTTTTACAGAGGAGGAGCATTAATGCAGTAGATTAGCAGCATGATAGAAGCATGTTTCATATATGCTAATTAGCTCCCACATCGAAGCAGATTTGAAGCATGTTTGCAGTATGATTGCAGTAGTCGACTGCGCTGGAGTATCTACTTCGTTTTCGTGCGGGAAGTCACAGCGAGAGGAAAGTGAGACGGGAAAATGACAGAAGTCTCAGATGGTGGGATTGACCCCCTAAGAAATGTTACTGATTTTGGTAAGTTTTGTGAATTATCTTTTTTCTGAAAGCGATGTCCTTTTGATAACCCCGTATGAGTCGAACTAATAAATTACCTATATTTGTTGTAATGTAAAACTAAAGTGCTCTCATAACAAAATAACACTCTTGTACACTTTAAGAAAACATTGAGATTTGGGACTTAACTTTGGGTACTCTATAAAAGTATAACATTTTGATTCTGGAATGATAATTTATCTAGAGTGGGACTTGTGCAGGGTACTATATAAAATCGCAATGTATTTCAGTAATGTAAACATTAGGTATTTGTAGAATAGAACATATTAGTGAAAACCTTAATACTTCATTTTGTCGTATTCTGTAGGTGGTGAAGACCTGGATACAGTAATAGGTAAGTGAAGTGTTGGAAACGTATTTGCCTGTGTAACACAATATACACACACTGGACAATAGAAGCGTCACCCCCTGAATCACAGTAATCAAAGTTATAATGCCTTGTCTACTTATAATGTGACTAATGAGTATAAAACCGCTGTACCATGGAATTGTATTGTTGGTCTTTTTGTGAAATTTGATGTTAATAAAATGATACCAGGATATCATTCCACAGTCATTTATCTCCCTCAAAGTACTGGTTCAGTAGGGGTGACACCTGTATTGTCCAGTGTGTGTATATATATACCAAGACACAGATAGGTAGAGTGTACTATCAGTCCAGAAGACGAAATATTGGTTGGTAAATATCAGCTAATTTCCCCTACAGATGTATTAAAATTAATGAAACTCCCAAAGTTATATGCTCGTACATCCTAGATATTTAGAGACAGTAAACCTCATACCTCGATTAAAGTAGGCAGAAAGCTTACATTACATGGCATTTAAATTGATAATACATTTATTTTGTATACATTATATTTTTCAGCGGAAGAGATTGGTAAGTATTGAAAAAATCACAATATAATGAAAGTAAAGAAAGTCGACCTAAATTGTAACCAGAGAGCCTTCATCACAGAATTGAGTACGCTTTGGGTGAACATTGTAAATTGGAAACCGTTTTGTCCTGTCTATAATATTGCATATTTCCGTAAATATTTTTTAAAAATCTTAATCAATTATACATCTATATTCATCCTCAATATATTTCTCTTTCAGCAAGTTTGGGTAAGTATGTAGAACAAATCAGGAACAGTAGAAGGTATAGAATTAACCTTTAAAATGTAAAATAGAACTAGAGTTGAAACAAATATGTAAGTGTGTATGCTTTTGGTCAACAGTGTGGTTTTTTTGAGTCATTTTAGCCAATTTCCTTTACTTCCTATCTTCATCAATACTTTTACATAAGCGACTACATTTTACATATTCTGTGACTACTTGTGTAACAGTTTCATACAACGAACCCATAATTTCAACTAGTTCACGGGTATTGTACAAAGACACACTAATTACCGTAATTTTGGTACGTAAGATACTAATTATATCAGCTTAATCTATGTGTGTTTTTTTATTATGTATTAAGACATATATCAGGCAGCGTGTGCGGAGGGAACACAGAGAGTGTACAGAGCCAATGTGATAGTGGTTGGTCAGGGAGGCATTGGGAAAACACACCTTTGCCGAAATCTGCTGGGAGAAGACTTCACTGAGGACGACCCGGTGACGAACGGTATTGAGGTATCTGGGTGTATTCTGGAGAAACACACTGCAGGGACATCATGGCAGAGAAAAGGTGACAAACACCACTTTACGTCTATTATAACACCAACTTTATTAAATTATTAAAGACTATATATATATGCAGTATATTGTTTGTTTTTTTCTGTCTCTCATACTTAGAACTAATATAGGAAATAAAACTTTGATTTTTTTAATGCATTTACTTTGACAAAGCGTATTATCTGTTTACATTTCCCAATATTTCCCGTTGTGTAGAGTCCAGTGCAAATTACTGCATTGAGGCACTGGCCAGGGGCTTCAAGGAATACAGAGAAACCAGTAAGTAAATGTTGTGATAATAGATAATATTGTTTTTTTATAATTTTCTTTAAAAAGTGAATCAATAGTTAAAATATATATATATATATATATATATATATATATATAAGCAGTCGTTATGATGAAAGGTGAACATTATATAGTCAAGTAATATTACAAATATTAAATATCAGTCATACATTGATGAAGCTGCTCTAGACAGACGTCGGAATATAATATTTGAGGTCATAACCTCCATATTAGCTGTTGGTTGAAGAAAACTTACTTAATTATATCAAATATTTCTATACAAATTTTTTTTTTAACAAATACGGTTTGTAATCGGCAATTTAAATTTGGTACATGTCACTCCTCTATTTCGGTGTAGGTACAAGAAAGTATCGCACAGCAGAGTAATTTTTTTTTATCTTTTAGAGAAAACAAACAAGACTACTGTACGGAAAAACATTATAGATGGAGATGAAGTGACTGTGAAGCAGGTTCTTGAAAAAAGCCAAGGACAACCAGATGTTCCAGATTTACTGACTCTCTGGGACTTTGGCGGTCAGTATGTCTTCTACACGACACATCAAACTTTCCTCACATGGCGAGCTGTCTACTTACTGGTGTTTGACCTCACCAAGGAGTTAAATGACCCTGTCCATGTCGAGCGAGTGGGCAGAACTGGACCAAAACCAGTGGATAGCGTCCCAGACACTGTTGGTGGTGCGTTCAGTTGTCTTTAACATTTTTAAATTAATTGGTTNCTTCAATGAAGTTGGCATTAGTGAAATTGTCATATTAGATCCACAATGGCTGATCGATGCCTTTGCATCCTTAATAACTGTAGAGAAGTACCATAAAGTTTCTAAACCAGAAGTCAGGGGTTATTGGAAGATGCTGGATGATAGAGGAGAACTAGATGAACGACTGATTGACAGTGTGTGGGAACAAGACGCCGAGCTGAAGGGAAATAAACAGATTCTTCTTCGCATTTGTCAACGCTTTGACTTGCTAGTTGAACTACCGGAGGAACAAGCCAACGACAAATGGAAGAAATATTTAGTACCTTGTGTGCTAAAAAACCAACCCATTCCAGACGGTTATTTGAAAATGCAGAAAATTCCTCCATTATATTTGATGTTTGACGGCGGATTCTGTCCCCCTGGTCTCTTTCATCGCCTGGTGGTCTGCTGCTACAGGAAGTGGTCATCTCACGACCAAAATCCATACTGCGACTATGCATGCTTCAAGGTGGACCGCTCAATTCACACAATATTGGAGTTATGTAATGAAGGAGACGGCACATTCAAACTCATGGTTGGCTCTTTGAAAAGAAGTGTCAACGTCTTGGAGGGCGACAGTGCATTCCAGGTACTTAGCTATATCATGCAGGAGCTAGACCGACTTATTGGCGCCTACTTCCCTTACCTGAAGTACAACATTGGGTTCCGCTTCCCACACGGCCTGGAGAAACTGACAGAAGATCTGAAGACAGAGATGTTGGAGAGTGACGACGTGTGTCCGCCTGGATGCCGAGAAGTTATTGAAACCGCCCCGTACAGGAAGTGGCTCAGGAAAAATGAAAATACCTTTTGTCCATCAGCCAGAATCGGTAGGTGAATATCTGCAGGTATTGTCGTTTCATTTTCTTTTTACTTAAAGTAAATATACACATGTATCAAGATTCGGGTATTACTAAGTAACACTAGATCTAGACATTCAGTGTTTTGACAAAACTAAGCGGATTTGCACACTTCTACATGTATTTGTACTTATTTTATTTTAAATAAGGCACGTGCAGTTAAAGTCATAATTATTAAAATATTGTATAAAAATAATTGAGACACTTTTGCATTAGATAATAAACGAATGTAAACACATAAAATCCAAATACAAAATGACAAATATTATTTAAGTATGCCAGGAAACTGATTTTGTTGATAAATATTCACTGTTACATTTAATACATATGTTACTTGTTATATATTGACGATTGTGTTATGGTTTCTATTGTTTCATTTTTATAGCTGTCTATCCACCTGATGACTTGATGTGCGACTTAGCAAGAAATATTGGATTTGAGTGGGAGGAAGTAGCTGCCTATCTTGGAGTGGAGAGACCTCAGATAGATCATCTCAAACTCAACTTCCCCAGTGACGCACTTGGTCAGATTCGCAATATGCTGTTTCAGTGGAGAGAAGGAATGGGGGCTTGTAGCAATGAGGAGCGTCGAGACAAGTTGAAGAAAGCGTTGGCAAGGGCCAGACGTAACGACTTAGCGGACAGTCTTAAGCTTGGGTAATACTGAACTGCTAAACTACACAGACATAAGACGTACATTTGATAGTGGATTCTATCTCAAAACAGACATTAGGTCAACATTTTTGTAGCAGGTATTGTTCAGATTTTTGATTGCTGTAGTGATTTTGAGAACTCGTTTTGTGTTCTTGTTTCACGTGTCCATCATTGCTCACCGTACTGGCAGATTTCAATAATTGATTTTATTATTTATAATCTTAATATTTGCATGCACAGTTGTGTCATTCAAATTGCCCTTGTATATATTGCGGGTGTTCATAAGTTGAAAAACATATTAATTAGAATTACACTTATTTTTGCTACAAATAGTTTGATATGAGAGTGAAATCTTCCAGGTAGCTTTCTTGGGATTAAACAAAATTGTCATTTTGCAGATATAAAAATTAACTCAGAATTACATTGATGAACAATGACAGAAGACAAATTCATGAGATGTGTAATTTCAGTATGTTACCAAACCAAGTAAAACCAGTCATAATACCCATCCATTCAAATCAAATATTATAGTTATCAACAAGAATAATATCACAATGAAATGTTCAAACAAAACGATTCTATCAAAAGGGTGTGAATTTTGTATAATGAAGATACCATGCAATTGAAATGATACCAACATATTATGTCCAGTAAATTTTACAGTCTTGAATAATTTTTTTTTGACCTCAAAATTTTTCTGACATTTTAGGAAACTCATTGTTTTAGCAAAAAAAAAAAAAAAAAAAAAAAAAAAAAAACTAAAATTATTTGAACACAATTTTACAGAATTTTAGCCCATGATTCACAAATATGTTTAAGACTTGATAAAGTGGCAGAGGCAGCCAAAAGGGACTACATTTTTTCTATGAGTAAGTAAAACATGTAAATAAACAAAAGGTGGATGGTTTACTCAAATGTTAGCTTTTTCTGCACTTGTTTCATTGTGCCTAGTTTTTCTTACATTTAGTAAAATTTTATTAGTTATTTGCTTATGCCATATTATTTGCTTAAATGCCATATTAAGAAATAATATAGATTTAGTATTTTTTTGCAACTTTCTAAATATTGTTTGTTACACTATTAAACAACGTTTAAAACTTTAATTAATTATAAATTTATTATTCAGCTAAAATAGAACTTAATGAGCTTACTGATATTATAACAAGCATTTTTTACACTCACATATCTTTGCAAGTATTTTCACTTATATATATATAATTGTTTATGTTTAATTTTTCATAATTTTTGATACTCTTGCTCAAAATGGTTGGTACACGGAAATTTTGGGATGCATATCGCCCTGTTTCTTTCATTATTATTGATATTACCAAATTAATACTGTTTATTTTGTTAAATATGTGAAGCTGGAGAATTGGTAAAGTCAAGGAGAAACAACCAATGCAAATTTGAAAAAACATTAATTTATTTAGTTTTTTTTTCTCATGCCCCCCAAAACAGTACCAAATGAAAAATTAAACATAAATTTATACTGTGATTGACAATTAATATGAAATTATATATATATATATATATATATATATATATATATATATATATATATATATATATATATATATATATATATATATATATATATATAATTTTTGGTTTGTTTGTAACAGGATGAAATGGGAAGTGAGTATTATTAGATTAAAAGAGCATTGGTCAGTAATGGGTAATGGGTTTTAAATGGTTCAATTTAACATAATGAACTGAAGATGCTTCACTGTTACTTATAAACTGAGTAGAATCTAACAGATAGTTTTATTATATGATAGGATTGTATTGGTAAACAAATGACCAACATTTGTTTTCGTAAGTATAATGTTATGTTGCTTCATGATTGTTTGTGCTTAGTTTTTGACTGAATGGCAACTTATTAACAGAAACTGTATATATGTATGCTTAAACATATTTTAATGGATTCATAAAATTTAGGATAAATTAAGATAATGATTACCAGATGGATGATTAATTGATTAATAATTGTTAATATTTTAGATACATGTATTAAAGAACAGAAGGAGTATTAATTATAAAGTACTAGTATATAGCCAATTAATGCAACTATTATATGTTACGTTACATTCTAGTTATATTTACTGGAGGGAATAGATATTATGTCATGTAACATGTTAATCCAATTTTTTTGTCATATGACAAGAATGAGTAGTTCCATATAAACAGAATATATGATATGATCAAATATCTAATGTTTGGGTAAATTTAATTAAGCATGATTTCAAATAAAATGGTTTTAACTTTTATGATAAATAATTTTATTGGTAATAGATTATTAATTTTTTTTTTTTTTTTTTTTTTTTTTTTTTTTTTTGGCAAAAGTTTTGAGGCTCAAAACTTATTTGAGCAGGAGCAAGAGATTATTATGATAAGGTTTATTTAGGCTGTGGACTGTGGAAGCATTATATTTGCTCATACTTGAATGAAGTCAAAAAGATGTGTTGGCATTCCTTATACCCCCGTCACACTAGAGGCAGAATGAACAAGAATGCCGTGGGAAAGACAATTCTTTGTGCATTCCTGGATATTCAAAGAGCATTCTAAAAATTCCAAGTACATTTCAAATAGTTTTACCCATTCTTGTGGTCGGCCTGAATGTTAAAAACGTTTGAAGTGCATTCCAAGTGGATAATTATTGCATGGCATTTGAATAGTATTCTAACTACACTATAAACTGCATTTTAAATATTCTCACGGCATTCTGGCAACATTCGGAACATTCTGATCACATTTGAGGGATATTCGAACTGACACGTGACTTAATGCCCCCGTCAAACTTATTCGGAACCACCAGGAATCAAGCAGATCCAGCCAGAATTAATTAATTGATAAATTTGTGCCATAATCAGGATTGGATTTCAAATTGCAGTTAGAATTAATATTCCGAATGAAATTTAAATGCCGTACGAGTGTGGTTTGACTGCTGGCCAAATACTCACTGAAGTATGTAAGAAGGTGCCTCGAATGATATATGAAGCAAACTCAAATGCAGTCAACTGCTCCCGTTATGGCTGCCAATGATGGTTTGTAATATAAATAATTCAAACATAATACAGCTGAAATACCTAAAATATTTAATTAAAATTACTTTCTAACATGTTTAGAATGTAACACGATGTCCAGAGTGTATAAATAACGCCACAGGAATGGTAACTGATCATAATGTTTCGAATGCTGTCAGAATGCCGTGAGAATATTTAGAATGCAGTCATAGTGCAGTTAGAATACTGTTCAAATGCCATTTGATAATTCTCCACTTGGAATGCACTTTGAAAGTTTTTGACATGACAAAAACATTTGAGCTGGCTACCAGAATGGGTAAAAATATTTGGAATGCACTCGGAATTTTTAGAATGCTCTTCAAATAACCTGGAATGCACAAAGAAATGTATTTTCGATGCCATTCTTAATCATTCCGCCTCTAGTGTGACGGGGGTATAAAATCCCGCCAGAATGTTTCGAATGTGCCTCGGATGAGGTGAAATATTAATTTTGCAAGCAATCGAACTACACTAGTACGCCATCCAAAGTATATTCTAAATATTCTTACTGCCTTCTGACAGCATTATAGATATTCCTAGTTTTCCAACTACATTCGAACTGCATTTGAGAGCTACACAGTCAGAAATGCACTCATCATTCCAGGCAAATTCAAGTGCATTCTGAGTGTTCCAACGGTACTCTTACAATAATTAAGGTCAATTCAAAAAATTTTTCCCAAATGTGGTGCAAATTTTTAAAATTCTTCATTCAGCCTCATTCTTCTTGATTCCTGCTGATTCCAATTAAGTGTGACGGGGGTAGTAGGTGTGTGTGAAAGTTATCTTCCAGAGTTTCTCAATGAAAAGTTAGGGAGATAAACATGAAAGAATGTTGTTTAGGCTGATAATTCATTACAAGTATCGGAATGAAAATTGAATAAAGCAACTTTTTGATTTTGGAACCAACAAGGCAGTTCTGTTGTCACCGAGTCCGACATCGCCCACTGATAATACTTATTCAAGGATTTGTGACAATTTCAATGATTTCTATTTTTCTCCTTCAGTTGCCTATAATTTAGTATTGTGTTCAGATATTGATTTTTCAAAAAAATTTTCCTCTTAAAGCTTCAAAAACCTATGGTGCTTCTATTGGTCTCTTTTTGACATTAATCACAGCAGTGGCAAATCATAGCGAGATATGATCATGCTGACATCACAGCAAATTGTAGCAGGAATATCTTGTGTCCAATAAAGCCACAGTGTCCACTTCAATCCTCCCAAGTAAAAATAAGTGTGAAAGAAAATATCTTATATTTTATTGTTCCTCAAGATTTCGCCTTCTCTCTTTTCCAAGCATAATGAAGTGCATCACTGCCCATTTGTATAAATTATTCACGTTTTGCTCCACGCACAAAAATAACTCCCAGTAAAAATTGATAGACTAACTTTAGTTTTTTCTTACATTTGAGACTATTTGTATAATAGCCTTACTGTTCGTAAATTGTAGAAGGTCCCAACAATATCAACTGAATTCCATTTATTTACTAAATCGACAAAACTGTTTTTAGAAAGGAGAACAAATATCAAAAGACAATAATATATAAACTTTCCTTCTCAATTCTGTATTTATTGCCCATAACAACTGCTCTACACAAGATTTCTGCTGTTTTCCACATAGGATGCCCAATACAGATGCAGTTACTGGTCACAAAGCATTTTGTTAAATAGTTAACTAAGATGGAAATGGCTTGTCTTTACAGAACACAAAACTTTTGAAACCTTTTTGAAAAGCATATTTGCATCCTTTAAACTTAGTACAAAAAAACTCCAATTGAGTGGGAAATAGAAAAAAAAAATTAAATACATCTGCGTGAAAAAGGTGAGGACCTTATATATACAAAAAATAAGATGTAACGCTGCTTAACAAAAGCCCGTGTATATACATAACTAAGCACATTCATCACATCACACTACATCTCACATGCATCTACATCGACAATCAGCTCCTGGCACCCTAGTCTTAGCAGCTAATCTGCCAACACCTTTCCCTGTAACTCAGAAGCATCGTGCATTGCGTCCAAGCACAAGTGCCTTGATACTATAACTCGCCATATACTCGCCCCATATTATAGCCTTGAAATGAAGGGTGATATTGCTTTTTGCAATTTGTGCTGCTTTCGAGTTATGGAGCCCAAGCAGGCATGCTAATATCATCAAATTATCCAGTACGGGAAATTAACAAGAAGAATAATATCAACTGTATTTCAGTGAAAGTGTATTGTGTAACTCAGAAATGTCCTCACAGATAAAATTAACAAAACTGTGGTTCTGCTCAAATTTCATTGTATAAACCACCTAAAACTACGGACTGTGACACAAATCCTAGCAGGAAGATGCAATGTTCCCAACCATTCTGGACAGCATTCCTAGAGTACATAAAGATAAGGCTTGGATGTATTGCCTAGCTGTGAAGTTCAATTACAAGTTTGACTGTCCTATCTTACCTTCAGCACACTATGCACAACAGAACAAACATGAAGTGTGCCTTTCTATTCTTAATTTCAACAACACTGGCCTAGTTCAAACACTGTACCACCAAAACTACACATTCTATGGACAGCTTTTCTTTTAAAGTTCAAAATGTTTCCAAGTCAACATTATTGTAAATTCTGATTACCCACAAACTGATTTCATTATGAACACCTCATCAATTTTGGCTCTCTACATCCATCTCTTTTATAAACATTTTAAAGAAATTACTTACATAATTTTTATTTCAATTATAATCAATATTTCAGAGTATGTGACCATCCTGAGCCCCAGGGACAGATCAACACTTCACTGCCTCAAACACACAATTCACTTATTACAACTAATAACTACATGATTATTATTACAACAGCTTAAAGGGAGACAGTAAAACTGAACAGACCTTTTTCTCAAGGTGAATTGACAACTTAATTCTAGTTCCCATTCTTATTTATCTAAAAAGGGTATAATTGCCTTATAAAACACCATTATACTTGAACAAATGCAGGCTTGCATCTACAAGCAAGGTGCAATTGCATTTGAGAGAAAAAATTTAAAACTGAAAACATGCAACAACAGTTAATAACATTGACTTATGCAATTTCACTACACTTGCAGTTTTAAAAGCTGTAAGAGTCTCTTTTTCAACGTCTTCTATACATTCATATATAACAACAAAATACTAATATATAGTCACAATCATTCAAATAAAGTTAATAAAAAAAATATGAGAAAAATGATGTACAAAGCAGAATGAAAAGCGTTGTACATAGCAGTTTCCTCAGCCCACCAAGCCTGCTTCAATAACAATGTCACCTATAGGGTAGAAATTGAACTTTGACCTTGAACATGGCCTGACCTTGACCCAGATATGACCTTGATCCAGTCATTACCTGACCCTGACCTAGATTTACACATCATCCCAGGAATAAAAATCCATGCTAGATTCATGCTAAACTCTAGATATCAGGACATCTTCCAGCTTTATTTAAAGACCAAAGTCTACCATTTTTGTGACACGATTATCGAAGCCCCCTCACTACGCCTTCTTGGTCATGATCTTCAGATACTGCAATGCATTGTGGGCTGCGTTGGCATGGCATTCATCAGATGTGGGTCCGCTGCCGTGACACACAGCGACTGGCATGGTGGACAGCTGCACCAAACACTGACGATTGCCTGGAAATAGAGAAAGCACTGGTGATTACCTAGAGAAGAGAGAGAGAGATAATCATATTTTCTCAACCAGGAAGTGACCTTTATTAAGGAGCTCCAGCAAGTCAACAGGTGACCTCAAAGTACTGCTTCTCAGCTGAATGATGTGACCTACCTTTATGACTGAGTTCCTACAGGTCAACATAAAGTGACCTACCTTTGTTACTGAGCTCCTGCAGGTCAACAGGTGACCTCAGAGCACTGCTTCTCAGCTGAATGATGTGACCTACCTTTATGACTGAGTTCCTACAGGTCAACATAAAGTGACCTACCTTTGTTACTGAGCTCCTGCAGGTCAACATAGGTGACCTCAAAGCACTGCTTCTC